AATGAAGTATTATTGCCGTTGTTAGCATCATTCTGAAAATGGGTTATTTAGAGCATACATAATGCTTTTAGTTCGTTATTTATTTATGTAACGTTTATGTGACCTTTTTTTTTTGATTTATCCAATAAAAATTGTTTTGAAATTCACCGCTGAGGTTTGCAGAACTTTTCTTGTCAGATGGTCGTGAGTGCCTCGGTTTGGTTTTAAAAACTGATTTTCTGGGGATCATTTTTCACTGATATGAATGAAGTACTATATCCAATGCGGAGTTTGAATGAATGTCGAGGATCCTATCATCTATGGTGATTATGGTTGATTTTTATGTGCTTTAAGTGCATCATTTCTTTGTTACACATTTTACTAGTAGTGTAATTAATCAGTCGTTAGTGAACTGGTAATAATTACCAAGTAAAGATCTTTGCAAAAGTCAAAAATGAACTTAATTTGTACGTTTTTTATTCAGCATGTCGTCATTGAGAAATGATAGTCAATTTTGTTTTCATAAGATTATAAAAGGCTATAACACTGTGAACTTACGAGTGTATGGAAAAAAAGCAGCACAATCAAGATATAAAATATAGATATGCATAAATGTAGTTCTTAAAATAAAATTGCAAAAGTTTTTCCAAATTCCTCATATTTTCTTTCCTCTTGTTGTTCCTATACCGTTGGACAGAGGAAGCTTCAGAAGACAGTCTATTAATAAATATTTATTAGTTTTCATAATGCTTTGTTCAATATCGTCTGCCATATCTGTTGGAAAGCTTAGATTTTATTGAGCTTAATCATTGTAGATTTTGAAATAACAAAAAGTACAACAAACGGTCTGGCTCAGGGATTTTGGAGATTGTCAGTGCTCTGAATTACACTTATTACTGAGCGACAGTTATGTATTGCGTACGGAGTGATAGGTGTTTGAAACGATTTGGAACTATAAAATTTGACAAGACTATTAGTCATTGATTTTAAGGCGTGAAGGATAAAGTTGACATTCTTAGATGCTTTGCTTAGCTGCTGATAGCTTTAAAGATACACTGGTAACCAACCGAAAACCAGAAACTGTAATGCACTTGACAACATATAAAACACAGTCCGTTTTAGCATCTATGGCAGGCGGTAAAAATTATGTTCGAGTGAAACATTTGATAAGTAGTTTTGAGTGAGCTTAATTTACGGTAACGAGAATTGTCGCAGGATTATCGTCAGGAAACTTCTAGGTGATTGGGTAAGGGAGCTATGTGATGTAAAGTTTAGAATTAAGCCGTATAAGAACTGGAATAACAGTTTTGACAGGTTTATTCTTTGTTTCTTTATCATAGCCAATCTTCGTATTTTATTCTGTTTTTTTGTTTTTTGAAAACTTCGACGTTTTGCTTTAAAAAACAGGTTATGTTTATATTGCGAAATGTATACTGAAGACTATTTCGTTTTCAGTTTTCGACACAAAACTTTCAACCCTACTTTTATGAAAGATTTTTTCGTAATTGGTATTATTTGAAGCTAACAACAATTTGATCAAAATATCAAGAACATTATCTTCTTTAAACTTCTGGGTTTTAAAAAATGTGACTAATTCAGATGTGTTATCGTTTTTCACCGAGCATTTTGATGTTGCAATTAATGGTTCAACATCTTGGTGGTCGTTGGTTAGATATTTGCAGCGATTTTTCATTTTAAATTCTTCATTTTGCAGCTTAAAAAGTCATTATTGAATGCCAGTGGTCTGCTCTGTGAAGGACAGTATTTTATAATCTTTTCGAGGAGTCTTGCAATGATAATTATTCAGAGGTCTGAAAAAGAACCGTGGTACTAAAGTGTAATATTCAGTTGAAGAACTCAAAAAGAAAAAAGCGCTTGAGATGGTACGCTCTTTTTTTGTTTGAACTTTTTAATCAACTTAAATCAGAGCATTTTATGTCTATGGCACGTCAGCATTGATGTGGTTTTCCACTAAATTGAGTCGTTGCCAAAGCTTTAGTAGCAATTTTCAATATATTATTTCACCTGTAGCTTCAGTAGTGGTTTAGCAATTTAAGGAATTTATTAATCAAATTGGCAAAACTTTTTATTGCTTTATTACGGCAGTTCTTGATTTTCATAATAGTTATTTAAGTTAATGATATTGTTTACGGTTCAGCAAAAAAAAAATAACAGATTTTGATTGACGTTTTAAGGTTTCAGTAATAATGGTATGTTTGAGTGTTAATGAGCACTTTTTTTTAGTTCATCTAGTCTATGAACTGTTTTCGTTCTAAAAAGTGCAATTGAGATTCAAAAAAAAATAAATTCGTTTTAATTTAATTTTTCTTTGACGTATTTCCTTTAAATATCTTTGTAATTTTTTTTACGGATTGGTTGCGGAAGGAATATTTGTGGAAAGTTCTTTTTTTTTGTTTATTGTCGTGTTAATTTAAAATTTGTTCATTTTCGTGATTAGGGCAGTGAACGAATTTCGGCAGTAGGCAAAAAAAAACTTTCTTGATGCCCTATGCTAGAATAATTTGATATGAGAATATTATAAAGTCTGAAAGCATATGTTTTTTTCTACACGAAATAGAAGCAAAAAAAAAAAGTAGTGGAAGAATGCATTGATCTGCAGTTTTTGTTCATTTGTTCAACAAATAAGGAAAACTCAAATAAAAATCTAGCGACAAGGCTTACAATTTCAGTGATCCCATGGAGAGAGTAAATTTGCTGAACAATGTATTTTGATTTCAAAAAACATGGATTATATTTTGCTGTCATTTTGGCTGAAGAAATCTATGCCAGAGTGAAAATAAAAAAGAAGAAGAAAGGGGAAAAAAACAACTTTTATATAAATTTATGGTTTTGCTTATTTGTTCTGCTCTATATTAGCAGTTATGATTTTTAAGGGATGCATTAAATCAGATATTATGGACGACGTAACAAAACTATTGCGCTGTAACAAGTAAATATGCAAATGAAAAAAACTGAGCGATTGGCGTTTGATGTGTACTAACAGTGAACTAACTATGGAATAAACTATTAGAACATCCATGCAATATCAATGGGGTCTTTATTCATCTTTTTTTTTTATTTTGATTTTTTTGCAATATTGATGACTTTTAGAATATTTAACCAGAATTTTAGTTATATAGTATGCAGTACTTATCTCAGAGATCACGGAACAACTTGTGCAACATAAAAAATTTTTCTAACCAACTATCGAGAAGATATTTTTGATGTTTTGGGTGGATGTTTAATGAATCAACTATTTTTGGTTACATTTTTGAGCAATCAGACTGGATAACTTTTTTACAGATAGTTGTAAATTGTTAACGGCAGACAATTAAAGATGTAGTATAAAGGGATCTTCTGTTGTAATACATTTGACAACATTTGTTGATTTAATGTGATGACACATACATACAATTGTAAAATACACCGGTGTTGAAAAAACTTCAAATGCAGATCGACTTTACAACATCAGAATATGCTGGCGGTGCATCTGTAATAGTTTGCGGAAGACCGGTTGCTAAAATTGCTTTTGGAATTTTTTCTGCTTCCAGAAGAACAATGTCTGGAACCTGAATTTTTGAGGGCGATTGTAGCGAATCAGAAGAAATACAGGAATTCACTGCTTGTAGTGGTGCATTGATGATTAATATTGGTTGAATCTCGTGCTCCTGTGTTTGACGCGGTGGCTCATGTAATTCATCATCTGCACCTCTAAACAAAAATATCAAATTAGACGGCATAAAAGAGGCAAAAATTTGCTTTCCTTGTTAGTTTGAAACGGTAACAGAAGTGATAGAAAAACTATAGATGAATTAGTTTTATTTTATTACTGTTATCTTTTGTAAAGATAGCTTGATTAAAGAGTTACTGATATACAAAATTTCTAACCTCTGTAAAATCATTTTTTGCTTTAATGCTTCACAAAGTTTGTATAAACATCGGAGGAGTACAATAAATGAAATGGCATAGATAACTGCTAAACAGAAGAACGACCAATTAGTTTTATACTGTTTTTGTAGACCTACAAATGTAACTTTCGTTAAGGTAATTATTTTCCAGTAGCAGAAATAATGAAATATATTGTCATATTTCCAATGACTGTTGTTTTATATGGATGTTTTATTTTATATTTATTTTCTGGTGAATACTATTGAATAGAAACACAACAAATATGAGCCAGTTTTGTACAGTAAATTTTGTACAGTATCTGTAAGCAAACAGATGCACATACGACATTCTTCTTGGAAACTATCGCAGCGCATGGTACAGCTTGAATGTTTTCCACATATTCGTACCTCACTGGTGACAACAGTTTTAAAGGCAAATATTGCTGTACAGACCACCTGTACGGGTACACAGAAACTCTGCAGCACAAAAAAAATTTGGTTAGTTTTTTTAAGTCTTTTTTTTTTCTCCTTCATCCAGTCAAGTCAGACTGAATTAGAAAGTAAAGAAAAAAAAAAAGCTTAAAGTGGAAAATAAATTGAGCATTAGTGTGCCGGTAATGATAGTGATGGAAAAAGATAAAAAATGGTGAAAGATGATGTGATGGGTAAAGGCTTTATAGAAAATGAAAAAATGCAACAAATATTCAACTAATTTCACAAATACCAAAAGTTTGTTAGATTTACCAAAGTATTAGCAGTCTTCATTCTCCATCTTTATGTTATCCCTTAAAAAAAAAAA